TTTCTGGTGATTTTGTTTTTGGAAGAAAATATCTCATTAGTCAAATCATTGCTGCGACATGATTGATATGGACTAGATAATAACATTGTACTATATGTAGTTTGTGTATGCTGATTCTTGTCTTTTTGTTCCCATTTTTTCTCTATTTTTCACACTTTCCACACCAGAGTTGTGGTGGAGTAATAGTAGAGGCTACATGGCCTTCCTCATGTTACTATATTTAACCAGTGATAGTAATAGAGCAGCTGGATTGGCATTGCGCTTTGAACAGAATCGAGATTCAGATTGAGTGGAAGCCAAAATAGTACCAAGTAGTGCTAATTCTAAACCTTTCTTCTGACTCCAGAACTACCCTGTTATTAACTAATCAGTATGATGTGCTCTGTGATAATTGTATGATCATGTATGGCATTCTTGAGGAGCATTGTCATGGGGGAGAATGTTGATTGATGTCTAGTCTTTTTATTCATACTTTGAAGGACTTGATAATCGCTACATAATGATGTGGACTGTATTAAGTGTGATTCACCTATCCTGAGATGAACTGAGTATGCCTAGTGTTTCTACTTTTGTATTTGGTAGTTGATATGGACGAAACATAATGATTCCAGTAATGTGTGAGGGTGTTTCTAAATGGTCTGAAAATTAGAGGACTGAAGAGATAAATTGAAGGTAGATTATTTATTTATAACATGAGTTTGTTGTTGTGGTGTTTAAGATAATATTAAAAGAGTTTGAAAGCTTGGATTTTCACAGTTTGAACTATGAATGAGTTAAAGAGAAAAGTAACTGCATGTTCTTCCCTTCTCTGTTGTTATATCACAATAGTAATCCCCACATTATATAGAATACTACATGGTTTGCATGAAATATGTAGAATGTCAAAAATATGTATCAAATAATCTGTAGTTCGTTGAATTCAAGTTTACCATTACATTGAAGCACATCTTTGTGCATAACTCACAAGAATTTTCAGACTCATTATCCATACAATTTTCTTCCTCATCATATATCTTTATCATTGGTACCTCAAACTCATATGATTATTGAGCTATAATGTGTCTCCTGTCCTTTTGTCTCTTCTGTCAGATCCTCTTCTCCATTCACCAAATTAGCCTCTAGTTCCTTCTCTTTGTCTGTCATCTTATCATCATCCCTTTTCCATTTTCCTTTCCCTTTTCCCTTTTGTCTCTTCTCTTTTCCTTTTTCCTCTCCTCCCCTCTCTCTCTTGTTCATGGCTGTCACTTTCTTGTTTGTGCTGCCTTAATGTGTGGTTGTGAATATTTTTATAAGGCAAGTAAAGAAAGAAAGAAGAAAGGATTTTTTGTGATTCACACTGGACCACTGATAAGGACATAAGGTAGATGAATGATTCACTGTAGGTGTTTTGTATTAGGTTCTGAGAAAAAATTACATAAAAAAATCATGAGTATTTTGTGTAAAAGTTGTGTATCTGTGGTCTCTTTGATGGCAGTTTCTTTGCATAACTCATAATGAGTTTTTTGGCATGTTACTTATATACTTTTCAATATTCATATATTTTTGATCATGTACCTCCTTTATCATATGTATAGCTTCATTCATGATTATTACTATTAAGACAGTTCTCTGGTTTGTATGGTTAATCATGTCTTTTTTTCTATAGAACTACATGTTAAAAGAAATCTTGCTATCTTTGTGATGTGCAATTGAAAATAAAAATTGAAGTTCCAGAAAATGTTTTGCTATGTTATTGAAGACAATATGTTTGTTTGAGAATATTGTATGTTCCTTTAATCTTGATTTTATAGTTTTTGTCAGAAACTTGCTTTTATCTTGTTGGAGCGTCTATTTGACCACTACAGTAAAAGTGTTGCTAGAGTTCTATATATTTCCTGGGAAAGGAGTGAACAAGATAACTTTACATCTAATGAGTAGGAAAACATTTATAAGATGCATGCATGCCAAGTTTTAAAATTACTGTTTCTTTTAATATTTCATGTTGAAATAAACTGAAGTATTGGGTGGTCTAAAGGTTATTTTCTGAACTGAATATGTATGGGTTGAAAAAACTCTCAAGAAGCTTGTAAATAAGCTTTCTGTTAACTGATAGTTCCTTTTTTTTTAGCAAGGTAGTATGATAATTGTGACTTGCAAGTAAGACTGGGAGATGTAAGCATTTTTATCTGGCAAGGCACACACATGCAGGTATTGCTTTTTGCCTCTAACATTATTTAACCAAGGCCATCACTACAGGAGATATATAACAGATTAACATATTGTTTACACAGGCGAGATAGAGGTTTGGTGTGCAGGTTTCATACCTTAGCATCTTCAGGGAGATATTTTTTTTTTATTAGATTATGAGATATTTTATGTAGAACTGTATCATTTGTAAGCTGTAACGGGGTCCTCAAGTTGAGAGAAAAAAAAGGTGGAAGAATATTGATGTGGATTATTGAACGTGATTCTTACTTTGTTGACTCTTAACAGCTTCCTTTTATTAAAAGATATAACTTACTTTTGTTCTGGTCATTTTCCTCCATCTCTGAAAGATTTGGTTAAAGTGATGAAAATAGTAAGGACACAGATTGTTCATTGAATAGACATATGATTCTCTCTCTCTTTCTCTTCTCTTCTCTTTCTCTTCTCTTTCTCTTTCTCTTTCTCTTTCTCTTCTTTTTCTCTTTCTTTCTCTTTCTTTCTCTCTCTTTCTCCCTTTCTCTCTCTCTCTCTCTCTCTCTCTCTCTCTCTCTCTCTCTCTCTCTCTCTCTTCTCTCTCTCTCTCTCTCTCTCTCTTCTCTCTCTCTTCTCTTTCTCCTCTTTCTCTTTCTCTTTCTCTTCTCTTTCTCTTTCTCTTTCTTTCTCTCCTCTCTCTCTTCCTTCTCTCTCTCTTCTCTCTCTCTCTCCTCTCTCTCTCTCTCTCTCTCGTCTCTCTCCTCTCTCTCTCTCTCTCTCCTCTCTCTCTCTCTCTCTCTCTCTCTCTCTCTCTCTCTCTCTCTCTCCCACTCCCACTCTCCCATCTCCCCACTCCCAACTCCCACTCTCACTCTCACTCTCACTCTCACTCTCACTCTCACTCTCACCTCACTCCCACTCCCACTCCCACTCCCACTCCCACTCCCGCCACTCCCACTCCACTCCCACTCCCACTCCCCACTCACCCCACTCCACTCCCATCCCACTCCCACTTCCCAACTCTCACTCCCACTCCCACTCGCCACTCCACTCCACTCCGCACTCCCACTCCCACTCTCACTCCCACTCTCATTTCGAACGCCCACACAACTCAATCCCCCCCTGTCACACACACACACACACGACACACACACACAACCACACACAACAACACAACACAGAATCCACACACACCACAACAGTCACGACACACACACACACACCACACACACACATCACACACACACACACACACACAGNCGTATTATTTTTCTTTGTGTTTTTTGTTTGTTTGTTTGTTTGTTGTTGTTTTCTTTGCTTGTTCTTCCTTTTTAAGCATAAGTCGCTACCATTGCAAATCTCGAGATCTTATCAAACGAGCACCCACATCACCGCGATAAGAGGAGACAGCTCATCACTTTGACCTTTGACCTCCCCTCAAACGGATTCCGCCATGCATTCCTCCTTGTCGTCATGACCTTCAACCGTCGCGTCGTTCCCGTGCATGATTTGGCGCTAATGAAGGGAATTTGCACTTTATTTGCATGCGATTGACGAGCGAAAAAGACACACAGAAAATGGCCGATCTCAAAAGAAATTCCTCGACATGGAAATTTTTGGCAACAAGGAGATAGAAAAAAACAACAACATATATTGGAAATTCCTTTCGTTAACACGTGATCACGCGCGGGGAAAGATCCCGATGAGGAGGGTGCTGTTCTTACGCGACAACAGCTGTTCAGCCTCATGGACTGTGCGGCCGTCTTGGAAATATCTTGATTGTAATATCAGCTGTCATCTTGTATAGAACCTTTACTTTGAAGTCAGTGCGAGATGTATTTTTCATTTTACTTCGTTTTTTTATAGACCACACCTTCAGGTAATCACAAGGGCATAAAACGTGAACAGGTCATGTCTATCGACATGACCTGTTATATATATATATATATATATATATATATAATATATATATATATATATATATATATATATATATATGTATATATGGTGTGTGTGTTGTGTGTGTGTGTGTGTGTGTGTGTGTGTGTGTGTGTGTGTGTGTGTGTGTGTGTGTGTGGGTGTGTGTGTTGTGTGTGTGTGTGTGTGTGTGTGTGTGTGTGTGTGTGTGTGTGTGTGTGTGTGTGTGTGTTGTGTACATATATACATATATACATATATATATATATATATATATATATATATATATATATATATATATATATATATATATTATTATGTATGTGTGTGTGTGTGTGTGTGTGTGTGTGTGTGTGTGTGTGTGGTGTGTGTGTGTGTGTGTGTCGAGATCATTATTTTTTTCAGAAGGTGCTCTGATTTGAAAGATGTACGTTGGTCACTGAAACATCTTGAAGGCATATCAATATAGCAAAATTTAGAGTTACAACAAATAAGAGTAAATTATAACAATCATTTATAAATGGTTTGTATGTTTAAATGCTAGCAATTCATTTGGGGGAAAGCAATGAGTTAAGCTGAATGCTAGTACTTTGAATCACATTTTTACCCTCATATGCAGGGGCGCAACTACGGGGGGGGGGGGTCCTGGGGGTGCAAGTGCCCTTTTTCTTGGGCACTTTCTTTATCTTGATCTTGGAATGGCGATGAGACTGTTTATTGTATTTTTTGTTTGTTCAGTGCAAATAATTATCATTAAAATTCTTGCAACATTTCTTCCGTTTTTAAATCTGAAGAATAATTTCAGGCTATATCCCATGTAAATAAAATTCATACTGTGCCCTTTTTGTGGCCTGGACGCCTGCCCCCTAAAATTCCTAGTTGCGCCCCTGATATGATAGATTGCAGTGTGTGGTAAGTTTATTCACGCAATTGTTAAATATCTTTGCATTGATTTGTGGCAATTGAGACGAATTCTGGCTTTCTCCCGGTGAACAGGGAGGAGAAATGGAGAGTGAGGGAGAACAACGGCCAAGGTGCTTTCTTTAATGCCTTGTTGCTAAGGGTTGTATTCGCTTTCTCATTTAGTTATTTTAGTGTTCCATGGATACAGTACGGGGGTAGTCGCAGGTGACAGTCCCAGTGGCATTTCTGAATAGATTGAGAAGGATATTATTAATTGGAGGGAAGTGTAGAGCGGAAAATGAAAGGAGGGGAATGATCGACTCATGTCCTAGGTGAAATCATGGGAAGAACACGTTAGACGGGGTGTGAGGGTCTCGGTTTCGTCTCACGTGTATTTTTATTGTGTTTATTAAATTGTCATTGATTTCTGATTAATAGGAAAAGGGAGGGTATGTAAAATTAAGCTTTGAGATGAATTGAATTATTTGAAAATATTACTTCTTTTAATTATTATGTGTATTGCTAAGATTTCTAGAACATACCATTTGTTCATTGTTTAGTTCTTGAATAAAATATGAAGGGTTACAAATGTTTCCCAGACCATTAAAATTGGACACACACTTAACATAGGAATTAATTCATTCCTACACCCACGAGCCTTAAAGACCGTTAGGTTATGCTACCAAATTGATATCATATTAGTTTTAGCTAGATAGATATAAAGGGAACGGGAACTCGAAATTGACTGGGCTAAAAATGCATCTTAACAAGACTCTTAACATCTGCATGCGCTGCACATGTACAGGGCAGGTGCTCCAGCGTCGTCGGCGGTGGTCGGGAAGGCACGTGTCGGGGCGGGGAAGTCGGCCTCCCTCCGACACGCGGGCGAGCGGAACGGAGCCCTCGTCACATCGTGCCGTGCGCGGGAGATGCGTGTGTTGAGGGTGGCAGGAAAGGGCAGAGATGTGATGGAAAAGGCGTCCATTTGTATTATCTGTCTGACGTCTCTCTCTCTCTCTCTCTCTCTCTCTCTCTCTCTCTCTCTCTCTCTTCTCTCTCTCTCTCTCTCTCTCTCTCTCTCTCTCTCTCTCTCTCTCTCTCTCTCTCTATTATATATATTATATAATATATATATATTATATATTATATATTATATATATATATATATATATATATATATATAATACATATATATATTATATATATAATATATATATTAATATCATATATATACATATATATATATAATATATATATATATATTATATATATATAGTGGTGTGCCGTGCGTGTGAGTTTGCGCGTGCATTTCTCTCAGTGTCCAATCGCAACCAAATCGCAGAGTAAACGAGATTGCCGGAAATCATGCGTTAATTGGCCTCCAGGCGCGGCTTTGCCAAAGAACATACAACCTGAGACAGCTACGTAATGGAACACCGGTTGTTGTCGGGTCGCTTTCGGCGCAGTTTCGTGATTTCAGAATATAAGCGAGAATGGGGTTCGGTCGCTTAAGCTTCCCATTTAAGCTTTCATTCGTTCGCTGATTATATAACTGTAGGAAGTTTAAACGATACGGATATTAAAGGAAGTTTCTCGTTCTGCCTTCTGGCTATTCTTAGCTTCTTTAACTTGATTAAATGGGATGAAAGGTGCTACGTCGATTACTAGTACCAGTAACATTATTACTATTTCTAGCACAATCAGTACTACTACTGCAACCACTATCACTACTACCACGACCATAACAAAATCTAATACACCTTTGATATTATTACAACTGCCATTACTACCACTACTACTATAGCTACCACTCCCACCACAACAACAACCATTGCTACTACTATTGCTGTAATTACTAGTGCTACTACCACCAGCACTACTACTTTTGCTGCTGTTACTACTAGTACCTCTACTAATAACAACAAGAATGCTCATGGTGATAATTACTGAATAAACGAGAATAAAACAGAGATGTATGTCACTAGAGGCGTAAATCCTGTATTTCCAGGCCTTTTTAGCGAACTAGTTGCCCTGTGTATCACTGAAGCGATCCACTGCACTTCTGTCTCAATTAATCTACCTATCAATATGTTTACTTATTTATTCTCCCCTTCCCTCTCTCTCTCTCTACTTGAGTGTTGTCTGTTTTACCCTTCTTTTCTTTCTCTTTATCCCTTCACCTCTCTCTCTCTCTCTCTCTCTCTCTCTCTCTCTCTCTCTCTCTCTCTCTCTCTCTCTCTCTCTCTCTCTCTCTCATTTAGTTGTAGTATTAAAGTGGAAATTTTGGCGTTTGAAAATTGTGATTGTAACAAAATTTGACCCGTTGCCGACTGCTCCCCCCACCACACAAAAAAAAGATAATAAGTAAATAAATTAACAAAATAACTAAAGACAAAATGTTTTAAAAGGCCCTCTCTCTTCCCCAGAGCATACAAATACACACTCAGTTGGAAATAGACCTGACTTTAGAAATACAAAACATTTTTGATATTTAATATGTTTCAACTTTTGCCACTTTGTAAT